TCTATTTGTCAGGCCATGGTACAACCAAGCAAACACTTAGGCTGTCATTAGTGAAAGAGGCCCACGGCTCCTTTTAAACCAATAAATTGCAGTGAATTTCACATGTGTGCTTGTCTATTTCTCTTGGTGTAAGGTTCCAGTAAACATACAAAAACTTTTTGAAGAAAAAAAAGAAATAAAATTTATGTAGAAGTTTATTTAATTCTAAGTGATGGGATATAAAAAAGTCTTTCACCTAACACAAACCACATAAAGGGCTTCCAAAAGCATTTGACCGTTCCTGGGCTCCGTTCCCTCCACGTATCCTACTAGCCAGACGAGGAAGTGCCTCTTTCCCTGTGTGAAATCTCTTCTGCTAGACAATTAGTTTCATGTCTTGGGATCTCATTTCCTGAGTGCCTGCCAGTGACCTTCTCTTTAAGAAATTAATTCTGCTGAAATTTGGCCAGGTGCAGTTTGCTCTGGCCCCGGACAAGGGTGGCCCTGTGCAGCCACAGCAATACTGCACACTGCTTTGCAGTCAGGACAGTTTTGGCCCCCAGTGACTGGCTCGGGAAGGCAAATGACTGGATGGAGTCTCACTGTGTAAGGCACAAGTATAATCACATTTGTACATTTTTTAAAAGAGGATTTGGCTTTAGGGTGACAGGGAGCAATATGAAGTCAGTCCAGGGAGCTCTTGTGACCTTTGCCAGAGTTATTTATACTCAGTGAAATGGGGCTTTGAGCTGTGCCCAGTCTGGTTCCCCGCCTATACACTTGGCCCCATCTGAAATGAAACCAAAGCATCCACACCTATGTCTCTGCGCTTTCCCCAAACAACTGGAGTTTTATAAGGTTACCCTAGAACTCTCCAGCTTTTCCCTAAGAATAGACCAACACTGTAGACTAAGGCTGGCTCTTTGTTTCAAGGAAAAGAAAATGTCAAGAGAGGTGAAGGTCATTTTTTTCTCGACTAGAAGCTACGATTGTCCATAATTCTTTATTTACAACATGTTACCTACCTAATGGAAGAAAAACATGCATTTTGAAGGGTGTATATTGGCCATGTTTGGAGCTGCAGAGAAGCCCAGGATGAGAATTTAAAGGAAGAGAAGAGGGACCAAGTTAAGAAGCAATAATGATAAATGAACAGAGTGAATTAAAGGAATACACACTGACTTTAAGGAAAACTGTACATCTTCTGTTATTTAGTACTTTTTTGGGGGAAGGAACATTTCATGACTATTTTGAGTAGACATAGCAAGGCGATAATTTCCCATTTTGCAGACACTATATTTCATTTACTCAGTCAGTCAGCAGGTGTTCCCTGAGAACAGTCCAGGCTCCTGAGGAGTATCAGAGGGCCATGTTAGTTCTTGTTTTCCCCTGATATTATATCTTCTCTGTAGTACAAGACTTCCACATGCATCTCAGTTGCCTCTGGACTCACTGTGGCCACAAGCTAGTTTCCCGAGAAGTCTGAATAGTGTTTGTCTGAGGTGGGACTCCTAGGTTACCCTACATGAGACTCACGTGCTCAAAAGGTTCCAAAACTTCTGTAGCCCCAGTGGCCCCCTCACTATCTCTGTTTATTTAAAGTTCAGCTCAGGGAAGGTTTCTAATGAGGCCATTTAAACATATTCTTGAAAATCTTGTAATGCTTAATTTTCAAATGTGAAGCACTTACTACTCTTTGACTTGGGAGAATTTATTATTGTTGCTGCTGCTAAGACAATCTACTTTGTGCCAGCTTTAAATGCATATGACTAATATTCACAACTGAAGTTAGTATTCTCCTTTGTTTTAACACACTGAAAAAGTGAAGTTCTAAGAGGATAAGTAGCATGTCGAAAGTATTAACTATGCAGCAAAAAGGAGAAACAAAATTTTGACCTTGTACTTTTTATGCTGAAAATAGATATTTGTATTTATATTCTGCCTTTATAAAAGTTATAAAGTCATTTGCTATATGAATTAGCCACTAGAAGAGTCTGATTAATTATAAAGCCACTTAGAATTTTAAACTTCTCCTTCATGTGAAAGTTGAAGTTTATTTTTTAAGGTTGTGAAGTTTTTCTCATTATGTGTATGTTTGTGAAACATAAGAATAAATACATTCATTGTGGGATATATATATATATGTGTGTGTATATATATATATATGTATGTATCTTATCTTGATCATTTTTATACCCCCTTCCCCCCTCTCATCTTCCCCACCCCGCAAAGCCTACCTCCTTCATTCCTATCATTTATTTCTATCTTTGAAATTTCTTAATTACAAAGGTATTTTACACACCCCTTAAAATTCACCCCATCCATTCTTTTTTTCTTTTTTGCCATGCCGAGGGACCCAGAGCTTTGCATAGGGTAGGCAAGCATTCTACTACGCAACTACACCTCCAACCCTCATAAAACATTTCTTGAGTGCCAAGAATATCAGGCTGTGTTTTGACATGGAGATTAGGACAATGAACAAAATAAATTTAGTTCCCAATCTCACAGTGTTGCAGCATTTTTATTTTTATTTTTATTTTTTTGCTTCTTAGTGAAAAGACATAGGAAAAAAAAATTATGTGTGAATGGACAATGATAAACTCAGTGAAACAAATGAAGCAAACTGAAGAAGATACGTAATTAAAAGAACAGGGGAAATTTCTGCTACTTTTGAATCAGGTTCCCAGACTACCTCTTTGGTAAGGCAACATTTGAAAAGTCCCTGGGGGGAAGGAAAAGGGTGAGCCATGCTCATACATGTGCAAAGACCGTAACATGGATCCGGCATGGTGTGATGCTCCAGGAACAGCAAGCTAGTACTCTCACCTGCTTTCCTAGCAGAAGGTGCTGGGAAATCTGGGAGCGACAGAAGAGATGGGAGGAGGACGCTACTAAAGATTGTTTAGAGAGACAGCAGCGAGACAGATCCTATTGGACATGAATGATCATTATGCTGACCAAGGATTTGGAGTTTATGCAGAAACTGGAAGCCTTACCTAATGTTTAAACAGAGGAAAGCACTATCCAACCTAGTTTTTTAAAAATATCATTCTCTGCTAAACACAGTATAGGAGCAGATGTGGGATAAGGAAACCAGTAGATCAATATTGGAAAAATACAGATTTGTAATGAAGTCTTGAAGCAGGGTGGGAGAACCAATAGGCAGCTGTGCCAGAATTTGCAGATAAGATGAATGGTGTGAGAGAAAGAGGGGAATCAGGATAACTATGGTTTTTCCCTTTAGCTAATAGAAATGGAACAATTGATACTGATTGAATGGTAAAGCAACTTCGGGGACCCGATTTGAAGACATGTATTGAGGAAGTTCACACATTCTACTCGGACATCATAAGTCTGAAATGTGCTTTAGCCACTGGGTGTGTTTGTAGAGGAATCAGCTGGATATTAGAGTTTAGGATTCAAGTGTGTGTTCTAGACTGAAATATAGGTATAAATTTAGCTGGTACCGACGTACTCAAAATCGTGAAACTGAAATGTATCATTTGGCAAGTGAATTGAACAGAAAAGAGACAGCATTCAAGAACTGAGTCTTGGCTCATTTAAGTGATAATGAGCAGGAAGATGGGAAGGACTCTGCAAGGCAGACTAAGCTACCCACAAGAAGTAGACAGTGGAGAAGGAGGGAAAGAATAGAGTACGGTGGTTCTGACATTCAAGGAAGGGAGTATATTGCGACACTGAGAATAAACAACTTTATCAACAGAGGTTATTAAATCAAGTGGGCCACAGGGTTATCACTTGATACAGTACCTGGTGGGATTGCCATGAAATGAGCAAAACATTTTTGAGTAGAATTGTTTTTATTAGCCAGTCCATTCCAGAGAATTACTCACTTGAATTTATAACCTAACACTTTTCTTCTTTTTTTTTTGAGATGGAGTTTTGCTATGTAGTTCAGGCTGCCCTCACACTTACTATGTGGCCCAGGCTGGCCTCCAACTTCGAGTGATCCTCGTACCTCAGCCTCCTGAGTGGGGGTCATAGGCATGCGCCACCACGCTCAGTCTGTAACCCAACACACATATTCCTTTTAATTCTATGTACATTTTAGACTCAGAGGTCCAACAAAAAGAAACACAGTTGTTCCTGCGTTCCTTCCCAGAGCTCGTACTCGTCCTGATGAAGTGCCTTTTGAAGTGCTGGGACCAGTCATAAACCTTCAGTAAAGCAAGACGGTGCTTGTCTTGTAAGGAAGAACATCTCTCTCATATGGTGTAGAGTACATATAGTTGGAGACATTTGAGTTTTTTCAAAGTATAAGTTTAATACTGCTTTGACTATACCTGGAAATGTGATTATAATAGTTTAGAAACTGGCCTGCTCTTGAGGTGCCACTTGGCAACTTTCATTAATGCAAAAAATACAATTGTAGTTTTCTTCTCTGGATTGTGTTGCCTTCACACATTAATGAATGCTGCTTCCTCCAATCTCTGCTTTTTCCTCCACAATATAATAGGTAATATTTTTGGATGATTATGCCGCTTAAATAGTTGGTAAGTAATTAGCCTTAAAATACTAAGAATAACAGAGATCTTAAGAGAAAATAGCATGGGTGAGAATGCATAGAATTCCCCTTAAACTTCATATCGGTGGTGGCCTGTTCTGCGTCTTCAGCCTGCCTTCGGGTAATCCTGTCTTCCTTCCAGTGTGCAAAGTAAAACTGAAAGGGGCTGGGGATTTAGCTCAGCGGCAAAGTGCCTGCCTGGCAAACGCAAGGTCGTGAGTTCGGTTCCCGGTACCGGAGAAAAACCAAAAAAAAAAACAAAAACAAAAACAAAAAAAACAACAAAGTAAAACTGAAAGCAATTAAACAACAAACAAAAAGGGGGTTAGAGAGAAAAGTAAAATACAAGAAAATGCAGCACAAAATTGAACAGGTTTTAACTATAAAAATTAGAGAGCATTTAGGATATCTATGTTCCCTAACTCCTCCATCTGACTCAAATTCTGTGGAGGTAAGGATGTCAAATAATTTTCAAACTAGGTTTTTTCTCCTTTATTGACAGAATGAAGTAATGATGAAGTTGTTAGTAAATTTAAAGTTCTTAAGGGTCCTTTGTCCCTCTTTTCTAAAAGTGAACTTTGAACAGCTGACAGACAGGGTTTCACTATCACTAATGCTTGCATTTGCTTAATGAGGACCAGCATGACATTGAGGAAAATGGTTGTTATTTATGTAAATTAAAAACAGGCATTTCAGGGCACCTAATTCTGTAACATTTGTTACAAAGAATATCTGTAGAATCCCAGGGCAGATACAGAAATAGATGCTGGCCATGCCTCTTTCCAAGGGTCTTCAGAAGTCCTGAAATATAATAATGGCTTTTAAAATTTTATTCTCATATTAGGACAGAATAATTATGGTTATTTCTTGGGCAAGAGTTGGCTAAAACTGGGAGACTTATTTTTGATAATCCTTTTTTCCGTTCTGGCTTTCGGTACCCATTCTTCCCAATTCACTTTTCTTCTTGCCCATGTTCTCAACACTTCACCTCCATACTTATGCCGATCTTTAAAATGTCTACGCACGTATAAACACATCTCTTTACCTTCCCTACATCACTTGTCCCCACCCAGTGCATTCATGTATTCATTCAGTTGCTCAGCATTTAGCTGGCTGCTAACATCTTTGTGAACTTACTTTGTTCAAAAGGTGTCACGCTCTGAGTACACAGTGATAGGCAAGTCGTATGTTCATGTTTTCACGGACACTGGAGGAAGTAGCTAAAGACAAAAGAGAGAGAATGAAACTCTACAAAGGAGCACCACCAGAGAGTCAGCTCACCTGAAAAGTGAATCTGTTTGCTCTGTTATCAACTTCTCTTCCTTTAATTAACATAATTCTTAGTGTTTTCACTCTAGAGATACCATTACCCAGTCTTATTACATCACCAATGGCTAATAGTAGATCTCCCTCTCTCTCTCTCTCTTTCTCTCT